GGAGGTTAGTCGCCTGCTGGGGACTCTGATTGAGAGGGTCTGGAGACCTTTAGTCGAGACTGTAGACTACATAAGAACCTCCCGTAGTATAACTATCTTTGAATTCGAACTTGGTAAATTACAATCTTGCTTAACTGCAGTCTAGGGGGAACCATATCCGGATGACCTCTCTCAACTTGAAAACAACCTTTTACTGCTTTGCTTGTTTGTTTGCTTGGACTTTCACTACACTTTCACTGCTAAATAATAAGAATTCACGGAGTAGTCATCACACTTAGGACCCGGGTTGACATTAAAACCCAAACCCGCTATACTATGCTCTAGTAGGTGGTTACACTTGGCCATTTTCTAGTGTGACGGTAGAGGCGAGTCAACTCCTTTTGTCTAGTAGCGACTCCCGACTAACTAGAGATCAAAATGACGATCCCTCTGTTCATATTGAAGACTAGATAATCCCGAACCCTCTATCCAAATTTCAGGACGATCCTATAGTTTGAATTTTTAGAATGCTCACTTGAACAGGCTACCATGTTGCGGAAACAAAAAACTACAACTCTTTGTTTCTTTGTTCTCTCTTTTGCTTATCTCTTATCTCTATTTGATTCCTTGTCCAAAAAAATGAAAGAATCTATCCTCTTTTCACTTTTACCAACCAATAATAAAGGATCTTCTAGAAAGACTTTTGAAATCCCCAATAAATTCAAGATAACCCAAAGTTAAATCGGTTACTAAGGCATATCCGTTTGATGAAGCTACGCTGTCTGAGACAAGTACCTCGATTGGAAGGTTAATGAATTTAGATATGGAAGAGGAACAAGAGAAGGCGGAGGAAATTATTTCAGAAGTTGCAAAAGACCTCCATCAAAGAAAGATTAGAAGTGCTCACTCAAAGCTTGAAATGAAGGTTCACAGGCTGGGCCCAGCAGAGCCTTCTCCGCCAGGTTCAAGGAAGTGCAAGAAAGGAAGGGGTAGGTCTGGTTGCTAATCCGATTTATGGGTACATCAGTGTGTATATGGAATGCCATGGGTCTAGGGGACTGGGATAAGAGATGTAGGGTTAAAAAAAATTATCGGGCGGCACCGACCGAAAATTGTAGGTCTTATAGAAGCCAAGTGGGCGCAGTGTGACGAGAAGTTGATCGACAATCTTTTCCGAAGGAGTGTTTACGACTGGGTTGCTAAGGATCCTGAAGGAAGTGCTAGGGGGATTGATGTGTTTTGGGACAAGTTATTCTACTCAAAGATTTCCAGCTCACAAGGAGCCTATTTCTTAGCTGTGGATTTGGTGGAACTGAGTACTTCAAAAATTTGGCATCTTGTGGTTGTTTACATGCCACAAGAAAAGGCAGATAAATTAGCGTTTCTTAGAGAACTTCAGGATTTTTGCTCACAGCAGTCTGGGCCGATCTGCATTGCTGGGTATTTCAATTTAGTTAGGAGTCATGACGATTATCATGGATCAAGAAGAAGCTCGGAGTTTATGTATGATTTTAAATCCTTTATTGATGGTAATGTTTTGATGGAATTTCCCCTTGGCGGAAGTAGGTTCATCTCTTTCTAGGATCGATAGGGTTCTGATATCACAAGATTTTGACAACTTATATCCTAATTGTTCGCTGACTGCAATGGAGAGGGTGGTTTCAGATCACAACCTCCTGGTTTTAAAGTGGAGTGAGAATAGGATTATCAAAAGGCCATTGCAGTTTCAGAACATGTGATTGGAAGATCCCCTTTTCTTTAAGGAGTTGGAAGCTTGGATGGGCCAAGGTTTTTGGTAACATTGATAATAAGTTTGAAATTTTGTTAAGGAAGATTAAGGAGTTTGACGAAGTTGAGAAGGGGCGAAGATTGTTGAACTTGGAAAAAGAGGAGAGGTTGAGGCTAGAATTTGGTCTAAATAGGACTATACTCTTACAACAGATCTGCTGGAAATAGAAGTCGTGAGAAATTTGGGTTAAAAGTGGGGACAGAAATTTCGATTACTTTCATAAGATGGAAAACTATAAAAGGAAGTTCAATAGAATCGACAAAATCAGCATGGAGGGGCGGATGGTGGAAGATGAAGAAGAGATTGTCGTGGGCATCATTCGTGCTTCCCAGGAAGTTTTTAGGGAGAGTATTGGTATTAGGCCTTTCCCTAGAGAGAATTGGAATCTACAACTAAGTGAGATGGAGCAAGTTTGGTTGGGTAGGCCATTTTCGGAGGAAAAATATAGGAGGGTATTAAGGAGTGTGACGGGAGAAAGGCGCCTAGCCCCAACGGGTTTATTTTGGAGTTCTTCAAGAGATGTTGGGGTTTGTTGAAGGGTGAATTTTTGGAAGCTTTCCAGGATTTTTACGAGACAGGGTTTCTGTCGAAGAGTGTCACTAATTCTTTCGTTTGTTTAGCGCCTAAGAAGGACGTGGTGGAAGAAATTAAGGATCTTCGTCCGATTAATATTATCGGGAGTTTTAATAAACTTATTAAAGAGGTGTTGTCCAGGAGATTGGGTTTGGTGCTTCCCAAGATTATCTCGCAACATCAACATTCGTCGGTTCATGGTAGGCAAACTTCGGAGGCAGGTCTCCTAGCCAATGAGCTTGTTGACAACAGACTGAAGAGTAGGAGGCCAGGACTTAAATTCAAACTAGATATTGAGAAGGCATTCGATAATGTCAATTAGGTCTGCCTCATGAAGATTATGGAGTCGATGGGCTTCCCGGATATTTGGTGCAGGTGGATTAAGTGATCTATGTGCTCTTCAAACATTTCGATCCTTGTTAATGGGGAGGCCAAAGGTTTTTTCGCAGTCTCAAAAGGTCTTCCCTAAGGGGCTCCACTACCTACAGGATTATTCGTAATGGTTATGGAAATTCTCTCGATGATGTTAAAGCATGTAAGAGAGGATGCGAGGTTTGAATGTTTGTTATTCGCAGATGACACGCTTATTTTGTGTGATGCAAGTCACGACCAGGTGCTAAATCATCTGGCCACCCTTGTTTGTTTTCAATCGGTGACAGGTCTGAGAATAAATTTGGACAAGTTCGTGATGTATACTATAGGTGATGTTGCTGAACCAAGTTTCTTCGCGGATATCTTTGGTTGTAAGTGGAGTTCTAATCCTCCTAAATATTTGGGCTTTCCTCTGGGGCTAAACTTAATGAGAGAGCGATTTGGGATGGCATTGTGGATAAATACCAGAAAAGGATGAATGGGTGGGGAATCAAGAATCTTTCTTATGGGGCAAGAGTGCTTATCAAGTTTATTCTTTCTAGCAGCCCGGCTTACCTTTTCTCTTTGTTTAAAGCTCCTGTTTCGGTGGTGAAAGAGTTTGAACAATACCAAAAGAACTTCTTTGGGAATGATAGGGATGATAATAACAAAATGCCTTTGATAGAATGGAGACGGTGTAAAGGTGAGATAAGAGATGGAGGACCGGGAATTCACGATCTAAAATGTTTTAACGATGCGCTTCTGACTAAGTGGGTGTGGAGATATGCGGTTGAAAGGGGTGGTTGGTGGCGTGTTTTACTCAATTACAAATATTCTAATCTGACTTATGTATGGCAGACTAGGAGTGTGAGCAACTGATTTCCCAAATCTGTCTGGGCGAATATCAGTAAGGAGTATGACTTGTTTTGGAAGTTTGCTTGTTTGGAGCCGGGAAATGGTACTATGGTTTTGTTCTGGCACGATTTTTGGATCCCTGACATGGAACTTGATGCCTCATTCCCTCGTGTCGTCGCTGCTGCCGATGACCCTAAAGCCTTGGTCTGCGACATTGCATCCTTTAATGGTGAGACGGTGAGTTAGAAGGTGAATTTTAAATGTAATCTAAGGGGTGGAGTTGAGAGGGAAAGGTGTGAGTTGTGTAATTTACTGGGATCTCTTGATATCTCGAGAAACATTTATAGTCCTTGCAGGTTAAAGTGGAATCTTGAAGCAAATGCAAAGTTTTTGGTAAAGTCCCTGTATGGAAGGTTGCCCGTGGCGGATTACAGCGGGGTTGAAGAGTTTCCTGTTGAGAAAAATCTGTTTCTTCTTGTAGCTCGTCTTTCATAACAGGATTCTGACTCTTGACAACTTGAAGAAGAGAGGTTTTGTTTTGGCTAACAGATGTTGTCTCTGTCAAGCAAATGAAAAATCCATTCAACATATGTTCGTGGAATGTCGGTTCGTAAAAGAAGTTTGGAGGAAGGTCTACATCAGGGGAAATTCAAGACCTGGTTTGGTTGCTGATATTAAAAGCATCATCTCTAACTGGGCTGATGCGGATGGGGATAGTGTTGAAGAATGGTTTGATTGTTGCACCCTCCATGCTATCTGATGGTCTGTGTGGCTTGAGAGGAATCAGAGGGTGTTTGAGGATGAAAAAACTTACAATTTCGATTGTGGCTAAGAAAGCAGCTAGACTTCTGATGGAATGGATTTTGCTCATGGTAAAATACAGGTCGATGAAGGATATAGATGGCTAAGAGACCTGGATACTAGATTATAAGATCGCAGGGCTGTGTCGTTATGTGATTCTCTATACTTTGCGTGGAGCAGTTTTGCAGATGGGAGGATCTCGGGTTGATTTGCGTTGGGAGAAGTTGTGTATTGGGTTATAACTTTCTGCACTTGGGGGGTGCTGGTTGTTTTTTTTTTTTTATTTGTTCTGTGTTCGAGACCTCTTTTTTTTTCTCTGCTTTGACGGATTTCATATAAGAGTGGACTGGTCCATTTAGTGTGAGGTTTTGCCGACTTTTTGTTTCTTTTGCTGTAGCTTTAGCGTTTGTTTTTGTACTTTGGATCATTCCTCTTGATCCTTGTTCCTTTTTCCTTTGTTATAATAATACCATCGCCCTTATAAAAAAATGGTTAATGCAACCACCATATGAGTTGGACCAACCCAACAAAATGTAATAACAATCGTTACCCTCATACAAATCGGAGTGCATTCAATCCACGTGCTAACACAACCACAAGCCCACGTCCCATGAATGGTTGCTATTGATTAGTTTTCCTTGTCGTTGCTATAAACTTGTTATAGAATTTATTTGATTTGAGAGAAAATTTGCATATTATTTTTATTAATACGATTATTCATACATATATCATATTCAATAATATCGATCTTTATGATCAATGCAGGCAAGCAGGCGAAAACCCAGGACCCCCATAGTAAAAATGTATCCCCATGTCTTGTTCCCATTTCTGCACTTGTATGTCGTAACAAGCTGGCCTTGTCGCCTGCCCTGTTATGTCCTTAGCATCTTTGACACGACCACCGTCTGTTATATATTTCAGGTTCCTAAACCAAGCTGCTTTGCCATATCCTTCACCGGGGAAATGGCCGCTCCCCATTTCAGTAGACGTGTGGAACCCTCGTGGGTTCGAGTTCACAATCTCGCCTCCACACTCGAGTAGACTTGCCGTTCCCCTCAGGCCGCCGTTGAAGAGGTTTGTCGGCCAATATCCCACGTCTTCACCATTCAGATTGAAGCACCAGTTTCCGTTCTGATCATCCTGCCGTTGAAAAAAAAAAGCATGTTATATATATACTAAACACGATATGTATTAACTAGTCCACAAACATAGGTTGTTAATTATTACCCTGTGGATTGTCAATTGGAGCAGGTATTGCGCCCCGCCATAAGTGGAAGAAGGCTGTACTTCGGCACCAAGCGCGATCTTGTGGTTGGTTTGAAGTTTGAACAAAGCCAGGGCAAAGTAAATTCATACATCCTGTTTTGTATCCATCGGGCTGTACGTTCACAAAATTTCAAGTTCAGCTTTCTTTCTTTTATTTTATCAAGACAAAATCCATCTTTATAGAATGAAATGACAACATTACTATACCAAAACTTCATACAGGGTGCATGTCTTCTGAGAAATTTTGACAATAATTATCAAGTTCAAAGAGGTGGAATTTCTAAGCACTTACAGTATAATATACGAAGAGGCTCGGATAATTGGTAAGATCTGTGACCTGCACCAGGGTCGAATGTTCAAAATCATTAATAATAATTAATTTTTTGCTTAATTTTTAATGGTTGAGGTTACAATACAAAATTCTTCTTATTTGTAGTACTACAAAACCGGATCTAATGGATAATGGATGTAATTTAAAAAAGAGAGATCTAAAGTTCTATATTATATAGGGTAAGGAAGGAGATAAGAGATTTAGGAGAGAGCTTACCGGAATTTTGGGACGATGCGGATTTCCAATTGTGTTGTTAAAATACTTTTCAAATCTTCTTCAAAAATTTAACGGATAATAACTTATTCATTTTACATCGGATTTATCAAATTTTGCGTAGAAATATAATATTTTATCCTCTACAATATAATATCAATTTTGATTTTAAACAAAAAAAAATATACATTATCTTAAAACTGTTATATCACGATATTACCACCGGACGTTGTATAATTTTGTAAATCTTATTGTGTTATTTCTGCGAAAAAAATAAAATTCTGAGTTAAAATTAAGGAGATATGACTCGATTAATAAAAATTAGACTTTAGGGGTGTGAAATTACCACTCCGCTTCTCCTTGTCTCTAAAGGAATTATTGGCCGTTAGATATGTGTAAAATAGAAGGATAGAGATGTAACTTTGTAGTCTAGAGTTTTGTACTCTTTCCTATCTCATTCTAATTTATTATAAGCTCAATTTTTATTCTAGTGCTCAATTTTTCAATTTAATTATAAGAATCCCAATTTATCAAATAAAATGAGCAGAAAGATTAAGGGTTTGATCTGCCTCTTCTACAATCACTCTCGTTGTAACAATTTTGAAATGGAGAAAAAATCAATTCTTAAAACTCCATCTTATATTTTGTTGATGTTGATTAATTTGACCCAAATATTTTGGTCAATTTTTAATTTATTATAAGCTCAACTTTCAGTTCTAGTGATGATTTTTTTATTATTATAAGAATCCATATTTATTAAATAAAATTATAAACCCAATTGCTGAAAGGATTAAGGAAGAGTTGACGATAATTAGCATTAACATAATAGATTTAGGGACTAATTAGTAATTACCCTCCAGCCAGCCTCAACTGAGTCGATACTGCTGCCTCCACCATCGGTAAGCCAGAACTGAGCTGCACTCAATTCATTTTTAAGAGTTTTTGGGTTCCATACACTAATTTCACCAATTGCTCCATGGAAGTTGGATCCAGGCAAAAACACTACAGCAAACTGTAATTATACGTATATCATAGTACAACTGAAATTAGTGTCAAGCACATTCCAATGTTTTCATAAATAAACTAAAAAAAAAAAACAAAAGCATATTCCAACGTTAATAAAATGTCTTATTAGTTCGTGCAAACTGATGTACGATAGTAGCATGTACGTACCTCGGCTACATCGCCCGCCGGCGTTAATGAGTTGGTCGAAGATCCCAGAGGATGTCCCTTTTTTCGCCGGAAGTTCTCCTCTGACGATCTCAAAATTGGGATGGTTCCCTCGGGACAATACTCTCCGTTCTTGCGCCACCTTTGGAAGCTCACCACCGAGGAGTTATCCGACTGTAATGGTCCCTTTGGTTTGATCCCAATTGGGTACGAACTGGGTTTCATCTAAGGAATTAAATAAATAATTACTCATCAATCAACAATTCAACGCCTCTCCACCTTAGTTAATCCAACTCATAAACTTACTTGAAGAGAGTGATTCGCAAGCCGTGGATGGCGAAAAGCGGGCTGCTTGTAGATATCCACACAATCAATGACCTCGCCACCTTCACTCTGCCACCATATAATCATCAAACATTAATAGGCCTTTTAAATTTCGTGAAAAGAAATGTATTCTGGAGGTCCTAAAAACAAGTTAAAATGTTCTCTATTTACCTTAATGGTTTTTAGTATGCTATTAGGATCGAGGAACAATCCGTTTGTTGATGCACCATTTACGCCGAAGGCCGGAAGTAGTGATGACAGTGAGAGGATTACTAACAAGCTATTGAAGCTCATAATTTTGTGATCTTTAGCAGCTTTCATGGCAGAGACTGAGACTAGATGAAAATTATTATATATGAAATGAAAAAGAAAGCAATATTGGCTCTTATATATAAATCTTCTGTGTTAAATATTTAGGAAAGTAAATTTTAGTGACACAAATATATAGCATAATATTCAATGTTTTTGAGTTTTCAATAAATTGTAAAACCAACAAATATGGAAGCACTACTCTATTCATTATATTATACATAGAAACTCAATAATTGTGGATATCAGTGCTCTATTATTATTATTATTATTATTATCTTACTTTACAAAGAAAATTTTATTGGATTTATATAGACTAGATTATTAATATGTTTTATAAAAATGTACAATTGTTGATTTTTTCGGTTTAGGATATAGAAAAAAATATATCTTAGCACTTTTCGGTCGACCGTAGCAAAGTCCTATATCTTAACACTAATATGTACGTTCTCGAACACGGATTTGGTCAATAACCTGGTTGGTTATTATCAAACATAATTATTTCTACAGTTAAATTTAACAAGTTATATATCATTCTTTTTAAAAACTTTTAGACTAAAAATTTTGATTAATTGCGCTCTTCAAAATGAAATTCACTTTTATATATTGTGCAACAAAAAAATTAGGCATATATTACATATATTTACCATGGTGGTAATGCTTAATAGTACATAAGATGGTAGTATATTTGGTCCTAAAATTATTTTTTTGAAAATTTGTTGATCACAATAGATAATTATAGACGTGTTCCTACTGTGTGAAAAAAAAAAGTTATGAAAATTTGAGTTACAAATGAAGTGCATACGAGGATGATTAATGAGTGCTATGGATTTTGTTTTCTCAAAATATTTCAAAATATATTAAAAAATTAATAATTTTATAGATCACAATGAATCTCTTCCATCTATGCAAATATTTTTAAATTTTGGGTTAAAACAAGTAATATACAAGTCGATTAAAGAGTAAATAACATAAAATAAATTTTTAATCTCACCCCGTTAGATCAATCTAGCCCACTCAAAACTAAGGAAAAAGATCTACTTATACACAAATGCATACCCAAGGGTCCCTACTCCCTAGGCCATAGTTCGCCTTTAAAATATATGCTCCGTTCAAAATTTTCAGCATTTTGAGCAACCCCTAGGAAGGACATTTTTGTCATTTCATTTACTTAAAAAGGAATTTATTGGAAAATTATATTCTATCAAATCTAGAATGAGAATTTAATCCATGGTTGTAGATAGTGACGGTAATGGGGTGGGGGAACCTAAATACCATATCCGCTCCACACTAACCATGGGTCATGCTAAGTAATACTAGCGTGGGAATGGGACTGGGAGGGTCGACGAATTCTAATATGTCTCTCTTATTGACACCAATGGCTATTATACACCATTTCAAGAGGATATCATGATCATAAGATTCCTATGGATAGGTCTTGAAGATAACAACAACAATCACTTAACATATTATCATATAACAAAGGCATAATGGTCCTTAGGCGATCTTGGCTTTAAAAATCTTCAACATTTCAATATATCTTTGATGACTAATGGTTTTATAGATATCATACAAAATTTTATGTTGGGTGAAGAACAGTAATTAATTGAAAATTTGGGTGCCACAACAATATATGGACTCTACAAGTCAACTGAAGGGGGTGCATAAATCTATTTTACGTTGACTCCTCAAGGTGGAACATCACTTCTAGCAAGTGGTTGTTATCAAACCAAGCATCAACTCCTCCATTTCCTTTTGGCAGATTAGTTGGATTTCTTATAGAAACCCAAAATATTGCAGAGACCTTACTAAATGGGCAGGTCTATCAAGGGGATGATGCTTCAGGAAGCAATAAAGTTATTGCCCTTAATAATATTTTGGATATTGTTGATTGAAAGAAAATTCGATTTTCTAGACATAAACAATAATGAAAACTTCATCGCCAAGATAGTGAACCAATCTATCTGTTCTTTTCCTATGGTTCATAAACTCATCCCTACAAATCAAAGTGATGCTCTTCACTTGATTTATGGGAATTGTTCTCTTTCCTCTTTCATCCCCCTTAAGCTAGTTTCATGTTACTAGCTTTATCTTTGTCCTCGTAACGTAGCACAATCACAGTGGAGGATAATCTTTCTATAATCCTTCTCCCAATCAAGCTTTAGTCCTTCTCAGGGGACCAACTCATGATATTTGGAGGCCCTTTTCAAAAAGTAAAAATGTTATCTTAAATTTTTCCCACAAATTTATTAACACGAAAGATTATTAATAATATACAAAGGCAAAGAAGACGATTAGGGCAACAGCCGACAAGCCAAATGATACAAGGCCTCCAAATTTCCAATCAAACGTCCCTGCAAAAAAAGAAAAAAAAAACAATTGGTTAGGGCCCAATTCCAATTCACGTTGAGCAAATAAAGAAGGGTAAAAACCAAAAGTCCAGTCGGCCCATTTCAATTCACAATGCAATTCTTATTTATATATATGTGATGCTCTAAAACACAACACCTAACAATGGCCAAGTGTAACCAATGAAAGGGACTGCAGTATAGTGGCACAAGTAATAAATATCGAATCCACGGGTCTCTAGAGTTACTATTACTCAGCTTCAATTCATTATCTAGCAAACTAGATTAAGGATTGATTAACTAAACTACTCTACTAACTAACTAAGTAAAACTACTAATTACAGTTTGGGAACTCACTTAGGTATGATTCCCCCTAGCTCCTCAATTAGGTCCAAGTTGTAATTCCTTTTGGTTGATTTACTGTTGATTAAACTGCGGAAGATCCGACAGTAGCTTGGAATCTCTTAAGCTGACCAAGCCCTCTCAGTCTAACTATCCGGCAGACGACTAGTCTTCACCGGGATAGAAAGCTGAAGCAATAAGCACAGAACTCCACTACTGGAATTGGATTCCAGTACAAAGCAGTAAACTGGCTAACTCTCGTATAGCCAATCTCCTACTACCGAATGATGAGACTCTAGCAACCTAATCAGATTCTATCTATCTCAGATTGCAGCAGGAATCAGGAAAAGTTGATCAGACTTCAATTGACTCAATAAACATGCATCATTCGATTATAATCAAACAATATAGCATCCAAAACTTCATACAAGAAAGATCCTAACTCATGGAACTAAGGTTCCTCAAAACCTAAGTGAAGGGAAGTTACTCCATATAGAAGAGAGAGACTGCAGAAATCTGATCTAGATCTTCAATCTCCATCTCCAAGCTTGATTCTCGAGCTCCAATGGCGAAGAAATCCTCCAAAATAGCTCCAAGAATGTTCCCAAGTCGCTCTCTCTCTCTAGGGTTCGTCCCTTGGGTGTTTTGGGATCCAAAACCCAGCTCTCTTCTTCTTTGGTTCGGAATTTGGCTTAAAACCAGGAATTCCCGACTCGCACGGCCAGGGTGCACGGCCGTGCACATCACCATTCTGGCCGTGCACCTCAAAACGCGGCGTATCAATTAGTTGAACCTCAGCCAACTCGCACGGCCAGAATTGTATGTTGCACGGCCGTGCGGATTTCACTTGTGCCCGTGCGTGCCCACGCACAATCCCGCACGGCCAAACTGGTCACTTGCACGGCCGTGCGTGGCCACGCACAATCCCGTGCGTGCCCACGCACGATCCCGCACGGCCAAACTGGTCACTTGCACGGCCGTGCGGGTTGTGGGTGTGCCCGTGCGACTTCCTCAGAACCTCGCCATGCGTCCGATCCTCGTCCAATCGACCCCAGACTCGCTCCTAAGCCTTCATTCACGTCCTAGGACCTGAAATATCACAAACAAGCACAACCTACCGTGAAATCGGCCTAAAACACGAGAATCAACACCTCAAACGGTGTAAGAATGGGGGTAAAAACACGTGTAAATGACGGTCTATCAAACTCCCCCACACTTAACCGTTTGCTTGTCCCCAAGCAAACCTAACTCAAACCAATGCAACTCTCCAGACCTCTATAGCAACAAACACCCCAGATCGTAGGTAGAGGACTTCCTAGATCATTTAGCAACTTACGAGGTCAACCGAAACACAAGTCATCTCATAGCTTCTTCGGCGAGAGCACTAGTATCGAGTCGGCATCATGGCAAATAGTGAACAGAGGACAAATGAATTGTGGATGAAGAGATTCTCAAAAACAAAAGATCATGGACTCACATTTTTCAAGGTGCTCTATTTTCTTCTTGAAGATGGTTGGAACCCCTTTTCTTTTCTGTTTTGCATGTTTTCTGTTATTTTTTATTTTTTTTTTTCAAGGGTCCCAACCTGCTCTTACCGGCCATGCCAGGAGCGGATGTCTCGAGCCTCGTGCGGGGGAAAGACATGTAAGGGGGCTGGAGGTAGTAGGTGGAAATTGGGAACGAATTCCCGTCTCCCCTTACACACTTTCGCCCTATTCGCACGGGAGACGTTATTTTGAAGCACATTTTCGAGCACCTGTTAAACTCAAAACATGATACAAGAGTCCATGACAGGTAGAGAATCCACAACACCACACAATTCAAGGGTCCTAAGATCACTAATTCACTCAATCAACCAACACAATATGAAGAAGCAATGAGACTTCTTAAATGCATCAACATCCTCCATAGTGCTACACTACCTCCCTAGGTTGCATATTACTATAAAGACTGTCAATTCAAAGCATACTGAGCAAGCAATTGCAAGGAACACGTACTTGGAGCCCTCAAATTTCAAAATTTGGACAGTGGACTAGGCTCCAAGCACACAAACAACCAAACATTTACCCGCATAAATAATCGAACACCCCCCCACACTTAAGCACGACATTGTCCTCAATGGAGGAAAGATAAGGAGGGTAGAACGAAGTTACCAGATCAAGGGTGAATGATGATGAACGGGTCAGGCGGTGCATCCCAGAAAGAGAGAGTAATCAGAACACAAACACCACACAAAATCTCACAAAGGTTGAGTTATTGACTCTAAAATCAAATAACAAAACTGACTCAACCGAGGATAAATAGAGAAAGAAATGCAAACCGAC